ATGCACTTGAGCTGGGCTATCGATTTCGCCCCCGGCATCGGCACGCCACCCCTCGGCTCATCTCTAGCGAGCCTGGTTTTATCCCCTTCCCCCTTCGAACCTAGTTTAAAGCCCTCTCAATGAGCCCGGCCAATTCATGAGCCATGATTCTTTTTCCCCTGTGAGACAGCTGGACTCCGTCTGTCACCTTGTATCTGTCAACTTGTATCCTTTTGCGGCAATTTGGAAAGCCTTTTACATAAAAAGTCTGTGGTAAATTGATTCAGTCCTATGTATCCTATTAGGAAGCGTTTTGCACTCAGCACTTTGAAAGAGGAGCAAGTAATCTAGAGAAGCCTTTAGTCTGGCTTGTGTTCACCATTCCTTATTTTTGTATCTACCTATGAAGATACTCCAGACAAAACGATTGTGGTTTTATTTCTTGGCAGGAAGAGAGTCCCATAATATTTAACATATATGTAGCTTTCAGCTACCTTCAGTATTTAAAATTTCTGGTTTGATTCTTGCTGTTAAGCCAGATTTCTTATATTTAGTTTTACTTTTGAGTTTTTCTAATTTACCTTCAGCAAGGAAGAATTTGTAGAAATATTTTGTTTGTGTTACACTGTCAAATACTGGCTTTTTTATTTTCACTTTAGATTTCAAAATTTAGTTCAGGAGTTAATTTCCTGGTCAAAATGTTTTCTTACCTTAAAAATATGGTAATTTTCTGTAAGTCGTTCAATCAATAACAATTTCCTGAAAAAATTGTCATTCTAAAAGACCAATAGGAGTTGGAGAACGTTATGAAATCTACTTTAATCATTTGGTATAGTAGAAGTAAATAAAGTCAGAGATTTACTGTCTCTACTTTGAAAATAAATGTCTTGGGTTTTAGTTGGCTTTTGTATAGCATGGGAATTCTCTGTCCTATGGCAATTTTTTGTTCCATCATCAATTCTTAATTGGATTTGCAAAATTGAGTTTTTAATTTGATTTCATTAAGAATCAGATTTTCATAACAATATAGTTGTTGAAAATAAAAATATAGAAAGGAAGCATGGCAAGGAATATGGACCACACATCAGAGTAATGACAAATGTATAGATGAGTGTTTACAAGTAAACATAAACTAATGGAATTGCCTCTTTTTACTTAACTTTGCATGCACTGTTTTATTAACAGGAAATAACCCTAACTGGAGGTTATCAACATAGGTCATATTCCCAAGTTCCACAACAAGAACATGTTGTTGCAGTTTGGCATCCAAATTGAATAAATCTTTCTGTTTCATTTCCTTCTTTTATTACAGCTTTGTATCACATTTTATAAACCAGGGTAAATGTTAATATTGGCATTGTAAAATGTTGGTGTCACAGCACAGAATTTGTTCTTTGTAAATATTTTTATAAAATATAGCCTATCCTTATCATTGTCATGTTTCTATTACGGCAATTGGTGTTGAATTTTGTGTGTTCAGGAGAACTGGCAGAGAATTGAAAGCACAATGGCTCCTCCAACCTGTGACATGCAAGAAGAATGATGTGGCTGATGCTGTACTTGGTTGCTTTTGACACCTGAGTCTGGCTGATTTCAGTTTATAGCTGGTTTGGCAGAGGTTTTTGTACTTTACTGGGCAACATGGCCTAAAATTTCCCTATGTAAAAATATTGACTAGAAAATGGTTGTATAAAAATGATTGTCAGGAAGTGATCAGTTAGAAATGTTTATCCTTAAGAAAACCCTTGTTATTTGTTTCAGGAAATTGAAAGGTTGGAAAGTAAATTAAATCAGAGCCCAGAAAGGTGGCAGCTTTTGTGGGAAAGGGTCAAAATGAATCTAAAGGATGACACCAGACAAGACAATGTAAGTAGTAAAAGAGCTCATCCAATAGAATAATTCCATTCCTGCTATATAGGCTACCTGGGGCACTGACAAATTCACTGTATTTCTTGGAGTAAATACTGCTTTTAAAAAAACGAATATGTTGTTCTAACCCATGATACTGGCTCTGTATTTCTGCATGTAGAAAAATATATTTATACTTGTGCTATTTATCTAACTGCTTTTCCAGAGTAGATTAAGACATACAGACTAAATGGGCATGAGCATTTTACTAATACACAAATATATGACTTTATATATTTAAAAGATTCTTGAAGTACAAAAAAATTCAGTTCCTGAAAGTAGCCAAAAGGACATCACAGAGTTTCAGAGATGAGTAAAGATATTTCCATGTCTAAATGGAATTTTGGAATTGTAGATTCTGTAAAGGAAGGAAGTGTTCATGCTTGTGTTTCCAATTCTTGAGTGCGGTAAAAAGCATAGCTGACAATATAGATATTTTCCAAGTCAAAGGCTGCCTCTTTGCTATCTACATGCACTAGGAAGAATGTTAGATACTGCTTTTTGTGAGCTTTCCCTATAAACTTGGCACAGTGAGTTACCAGCTCAAGGCTGTACCCTAACTCTTCAGCTTCACGTGCTTGTTCAAATTTGCCAGCCTCCATGCAATGGTTAGGCCACAGCACTACTTCGTTATTTGTCCTTTGCTCTCAGGAAAGCAATATGCTTTATGTCTGTCAGAGTCATTCAAGTTCACTTTATACCCTAGACAAATTCAAGATGAAAAAAGTTTTATCCTAGCAAAGCAGAGGATTTTTTTATTGAATTGGAAGCAGAAAAGAAAATGCAAGTATAAGTATACCTGATACCAGTCTCCTGTCCTAGCTGTTGTTTAAGGATTCTCAGATAAATGCAATAGCTAAGGGTCAACCCTAAAGAACTCTATCTCTAGGATGCTGTCGTTTAGATTAAGACCAAATTCAGGATCCCTCTTGTTCCAGGTTATTGAGATTCTACTAAAATAATCTGGATCTATAAAGTAGCTCTTGGAAACTGCACTCTTTTTCTTTCCCTCCATTGCTTCCCTCCAATCCCTTCCTTTCCTTCCCTGTGAAATTAGGGAAATTTATTGTATCCAAATGTCTGACTAGTTCTAGATGCTTCTGAGAAAGCAAGGGAAACATTGTTCAAGATTATGTCACTGGAATAAACGAGGCTTTTCTGAAATACTGATTTCTCACACCATGTGAACCCTTCTGCTTAAGAAATTAATTGAATTGCCATCCCTCTGACTTCTTTTCTGAGGCAGCACTGACTTGTATTATGAAGATTTTTTTTGGCCTCATATTAATTCACAACTTGTGTTGTACCATGTGTTATCAGTATAATGTTGAGACAGTCTCACAATGCAAGACACATTGTGTTACCTTTTTTTCTTTTATTTTCATCTTTTTTAGCTCCGAAGACATCCTTCTGGCTCCTCAGGGATGATGTCAGCTAATCTACATTCCTTTCAAAAGAGGTCTTTGTTGGAAATACCTGACAGTGGGCTGGGTGAGGAACAGAGCGCAAGCATCTCTCCCTCTAATGGAGTAGATAGAAGAACAACTACGCTATACAATCATTTCACATCAAAGAATGATGAAAATAGGTAAACTGAATAATCATAGAGTATTTATGAACCTTGTATTAGATTGGTACAAGTCTCTGCCTTAGGAAAAAAAAAAAAGACATTTTCATATGCACAGAATGCTTTGTGACTACTTTATTCCTTCTTTGTGGTTTTGATTACGTTTAGTTGTCTTAATGGGTGGGCCTCTATCTCCTGACAGTATCTTTCAATCTTCCCCTTTATATGCACAAGCAAATTGTAGCTGCACATTTAATGCATCCAAAGTACTGAAACAGTGTTTATCAGTGTATCATAGTTACCAATAACTAAACTATTGGTTTAAAACTGATGTGTTTTACTGCAGTGAAATAAGCGTTTGAATATGCATGTAGTCATTTTGGGGCTTTTGTATATCACCAGTATTCATATTATGGAATCACATGCCATTTGTATTTTCTGTACCTTTCAGATCTTTTGAAGGTACGCTATACAAAAGAGGAGCTTTACTAAAAGGTTGGAAACCTCGCTGGTTTGTGCTGGATGTGACAAAACACCAGGTAAACCTTTTCAGAGAATGGATGTTTTTATGACTAGTTTGCTGCTTTTTTTATTTACTGGGTTTGTATAGATTGATTTTACAAATAATACTAATAATGATTATTTTCAGATGCAATGTGTGTGCTACATCATTATAGACCATATATCTATGTTCATCTTGTGTATCTTGTAGCTGATACAGCATTCTGAATGGACAGAGGTTTTTTAGTATTTTGTTTTTTTAAAAACAGTAATAACTGTTTACCATATAATCATAAAAGACTTCTTGGACTGGAAGTCATGCATTATTGTTTGGGCCCAAACATTTTTTGCCTGTTTCATACCTCAGGAAAAAAAAAGCCAGGTAGTGCCTGAGGACATTTTCTGGGCATTGTGGTATACAAGCAATTTTTTAAAGCACTGCTAACTCTAGAATGTCATTAAGCAATTAAGTCATGAGCGTAATTTGCCCTTTAATATGACCTCTTTATTTTCCAAAAGAACTAAAAACTTTTTCTGAACTAGAGAGTGAAAAACTTAGAAGGTATTTCCTAGACTGTAATTGGGATGCTGAGAGCTACTATGGTAACCAATAGCAAGTTTAATTCAGGCATTCATGTGCAAACTGTAGTAGTTACTGTATGCTCAGTGTGTATTTTACAGCCTCTTTGTTCCTCAACCACTTTGCCATGAGCATTTTTCTTTGCAAATGAAAGGGCATGATATACTCTGGAAAATCATAATCTGAATTGCTTCAGCAGAAAAACCCATTTACCTCACTTGACTTTTTAGTGTTTTTCTGTAACCTGTATTTGAGAAAGCTGACCTGGAATCTCTATATGAAAGTCTTTTCAAGTATGGAGAACAGGATCACAGATCACTCTGAAATGAGTTTGAATTTTGTAAATGACTTAAAATGAGTTAAAATTTCATCTCAAATCTGTATTTATAAAAGTCCTGAAATGCCAAGTTCCTGATTGAACAATAATTTCAGGTGCCATATATAGGAGTATTTTAGATTAGTCATAGTGACGTAAATTTAGTAGCAAAAGTATTCATAAATATTCTGACAAATCATTGTACAGCAAGGAATACTAAAAACAGAGGAGATCTGTTGGTCTAACCATTCTACCCAATTTACAATCTATGCCAGAATTCTGCAGTGGAAATTTGTGGTCTCATGTACTTTAAATAATGTTGGGTCATCAGGCAGTAATCTTCATTGAGCCAAATATTCCACACAGTGTGGGTTGTAACCTCTGAGACTCATGTATGCTTTTTTTAAAAAATATTAATTTATTGTAATCAATACATTTAAAAAATGTGTAATATAAAGACAGTCATCTCTTAAAATGCTAATTGAGGATTTCCAGATTAGTGTGGTAAAATACCAACAAATACGCAGATTATAATTATTCTTCCAGATATACAGGAGAAAAGATTCATTTTGCAGAAGAAAAAAATCCTTTAACATTTTTTGTATATCCAAATATCCTCCTGAGTATCATAGATGTAGGAGTAATACAGGTCAATCTTAGCTGGAATTCTGTTGTTTTTCCTTTGCTATGAAGGTTTGCTTTACTATTTTGCATTGGTTTATGGGAATTTTTTTTTTTTTTTTTTTTTTTTTTTTTTTTTTTTTTTTTTTTTAGAAAGCAAGTATCAGATTTTCTCTTCTGGAACTTGTTTGCATATTGAAACTCAATTTACAGAGTGGTTAACATTCGTATCAAAGTATCTCTGCAAGGAGGAAAAAAAAAAAACAAGCTTCATTCAACCACTAAGTGCAGTATAGGAAAATGTGAGTTTTCTATGTAGTTTATAATTATCTAAAAATTATACTTAAATTTTTGCTGATCACTTTAAATTCTTGAAATATAGAGAATAAGTGTTCTGTTAACTCCTTGGTGAAGTAAAGTTTTTGTGTTAGTTTCAATGTAATGAACAGTGAAGAAGTGGTTTCTGTTAGAAAAACTGGTAAGGAATACTGAATCCTAAAGACCAGGTTCTGCTTTCATCCCTCACGCATCCTCTGCCCAGAAGCAGTGCATGACTATTTGAAGCTTCTCTGCTCTGAAACTCTGGTGACAAAATGCTCCTCCCCCAACTCTGTGTCTGCACAGGAGCGGATGGTGGAGACTTTGCCATTACCCAGAGATGTCAAATAGAGGACTGGCCAGTTAAGGGCTATCACCAGTCCCACCATTTTGTATACACCAAACCTATGGTTTCTGTCAGTTGTGTCTGAGAAATTTCCTATGTCTGATGTCCTCGGGTCCTGATAATATTTGTGCCTCCCACCATTACCCCTCCATGCCCCCAAGTTGTATCCAAGAAAAGGGAAGAAGTGAAAGGTCCATCTAAATAGCATATTTGGATTGGTTTTTCTCTTGTCGTCTAGCTGCGATACTATGATTCTGGTGAGGATACAAGCTGTAAGGGACACATAGACCTTGCAGAAGTAGAAACTGTGATTCCTGCTTCTCCAACAATTGGAGCCCCAAAACATGCAAGTGAAAAAGCATTTTTTGATGTAAGTATATCTGGTCTTTACTTGATCTTTATGTGAAACTTTCTTTTCTTGGTGTGTTTAACCTACTACTTTCAGTCCTGCTGGAAGGTTGAGCTAGGAAGGAGCTGTTATGACAACTCAAGACAAAAAGTTTTTACGCAGCTAGCATCTGGCCCTCACTCTCAACAGCAGAAGTTCAAAAAATGTTACATTCAGACCCAATTAGTACATTGAGTATTACAGTTTAAAGTAAAGTTTGCAAGTTGCTTTTTCTATTTTGTGTGTTGACTTGGCTATCTTCATGTTCTTATTTTTCCTTTGCAGTTGAAGACAAATAAACGTGTATATAATTTTTGTGCCCAAGATGCACAGAGTGCTCAACAGTGGATGGATAGGATCCAGAGTTGCATTTCAGATGCTTAGAAAGGAAAAACGTTCCATAATAAAGACACGTTTAAGCACCTCTTCCTGTGAGAAGCTAAGTTCTGGAATGTTACTGACAGACAACCAGCCTTCCTTACATTTCAGCCATAAAAGTTCATAATATGCTAAAGTTCCTTTTCTGTTTAATAATTATAACCACCGTAACTGCTATTTTTTTCTGCAGGGAAGACTTTGAAAAATAATAATCCGTTTATCCTGAATTTCCACTTTCTTCAGTACAATTCCTAGCTATAAAAGTGGGCTGTATTTGCACTATCATCTAATCCTGGTTTTCTCATGTCAGAGCTGTTCTGTTAGGAAACCTGTCCAAAGGAAATTGTAGAAATTTTCCCTGCAACAGGAAGTGTATTTTCACTTTATTAATATTTTTAAACAGAATGTTCTTATTTCCAAGCTAGTCATGAATAAGAGGGAACATGTCTACAATTCCTAAAAATAAATAAATAAATAAAGCTTGTCAGTCCAATGACATATATATCAGGTTGCCAGTGTTTATAGAAAGTTGATATTTTTAAAGACCAAAAAGTGAAACTGCCCGATACCAGACTTTCAAGTGTCTTCTCGCTGTGCGGGTCATTCTCTAATCTTGTGCTCTACTGAGTGCTTCTGCAATGTTGTTATGGAATTTCAAATTCTAGGGATTATCTGAAGTTCATAGCACTTTTATTTTAGATTCTGTTTGCAATTACAATGGGATAAATGAAAGAAAACTGGCCAACACTATCCAGGAGAAACAGAAAACAACAAACTAGGAATTCAGTAGAAGAAAGATCTCTTATGTATGAGTTGTATATGTTAATTTATATGCTGTTCTGCTCACTGTAAAATAAAAACCAACAAACATGATAATGCACTAAACAATGAAGCAAGCACTTGCACTGAAATCTTTAAAATGCAGACATTTTGCCGGACAGAGGTAAGTTATTTATAGCAGAACAATACTAGCTAGTTAACAACATTTACAAATATTAAATATGTACATAATCAGGTTTGATGTGTCGTGATTTGATACTTTTTAAACATTTTTTGCACATAAATTGGAAGACTGTTTATAGATTTTTACATTTGATAAAATTCTGTTTGTTCAGCTTAAAATCCTGGCAAAACATTTTTAATAACCCCAAATTAGTAGAAGTTTTACGGTCTACGAATATTGATGACATTGAGTAGAATATGTAGGTAATTAAGCCATTGTTTTTATTTTGAAATTTTAATATGTTAAATAGCACACTAATATTACAAAAGGTTTGTATATATGATTCACTCTTTTCTCATTTTTCCAGACGTTCTGCTTGTAATTTAATGTCAGCCTAACCAAACTGACTATACTTATAAGATTTTTCAGTTATTAAATTGTTTGTGGGTGTTTTACAACTAATGTATTTTGTCAGAAAGGAACATAAATTTCTCACCACACACAATAGGAAATGCAGCTGTTTTTAATGCATTTGCAATTTCAAAACAAAAATATGAAGGATTTTTCTAGCATTTTTCAATTGACAGATTTCCACCTGTGACAATGGTGTTTGCACATTTGTATTTTTCTTTGTATATGAAGTACTTTTATATGTACTTTGTAAAATACTGATCCTGTTCTTAGGTTATATGAAAATATACATACCACTGCTTATTTTGTAACTTGTTAATTTTAACTCTTGTATGTTATGTGATATATGTATGCTAACCATCTTGTAATAAATACACTTCTTAAGGAAAAGTAAAACCTTTCCTTTTACTGTAAAAGAGAAAAAAGCAAGACTCACATGTTGAAATATTTCCACAGGCACAAGACAAATCCTTATTTACTCTGTATTAAGAATAGTGGGTGTATTAAAAACTATGTGGTCTTTTGTATACTTGTAAATATTCTTACATAACAGTTGCATCTGAGCATCCTTAACTCAAACACTTGTCAACAGTAACACTAAAGACTAAAGAAATCAGAATTTAAAGCAAAATTATCATTCTAACAAGTCTCAATGTATAGCCTTTACTAAAAGGCTAAATACATATAATGGTCATACTAAGTCGTTGAATAATGATGTTAAATATATTTTTTTAAAAAAAATCCTATATAGTATCACAACATAAATCAACTGCGTACTTTTGCCCTGAAACGTATCTCACTCATTTATATCACCTTATGGAAAAATTACCTAGTTCATAAGAAATAAAATATAAAAATGACAAGGTCGTACTTGAGAATGTTGCATCTAAATTGAATTACTGAGTGTAGTGTGGGATAGTAGAGTTAAAACGGAAAGGGAATGTGTGACGGAGGTAGGGGACCTGTGACAATTCTTGGATGCTGTGGTGCTTAGATAAGGTTTGCATATTGAGCTTGGCATGGATGCTAATGTTGCCTTAAATGTTGATCTCAATTTTTAGTGTCTGTATTGATGGAAAATGGACTTGAGCAACTTAACTTAAAAATATCCAAATAAAAGCTGAAATGAGATATATGATATTTGTGGTGTTTATATGATGAATATACAAAGGAATGGCAGGCATAGGTGTGAAGACACAAAGGTTGCAGTGTCCCTGAGGGACTCTTCTATACAAAATGAAGATTCAAACAGAGACACAGAGAAGATGTGAAGTTAGCATAGCATAACCTGCAGGGTTTGTCAGTGTGTTTGAGTTGTGGCAGCAGAAGTAGAGAATTAGGAACAGCGAATTTGCTTGGGAAAAATTCTGTGTACAAAGGGATCCATCTTCATATTCTATGAAAATTTTCCAGAAAAATGAATGCATCCAGGAGTTGGATAAGGTAAACATGCTCCCTCTGGTGTGTCATATCGCTATTCCCATACTGTGTATCATAACATTCCTACTGTTATCAGGGGCTTCACATAAGGGAAGAAGATTGCTTGCCCTTCTCTGTGTTGAGTAACAAAATGCCCACATAATAGGTGACGGGATGAACTGAGTCTAAGTTTTGAAGAGTTGTTACTGATATATTATATTAGTAATTTCTCTTTCCTATCTAACATACAAGTATTTTCTATAGAAGTCCTTACTTTTGATGGAACTTTAGAATTATTATACTAAATAATGAAATACTTAAAATACATAATAAAACACATCCCACACACATTATTTGTATCTGATGTTTTGTGAATTGCAGACATAACAAAAATGTGGTGATCTTGTCCAAATACTGTCATTTTGCCTTTTCATCCTGTAATATTCTTGGAGTATGTCTAAGTGGCTGCACCACATTTCTCATTTTTCATATTTGTGATCATCCAAATATTTTGTCTGTTCATGATTATCCTGTGGTTGCTTTGGGGAGTCAGAAAACTGAAATGAATCTACCAGTTCCCCAGTTATGCTAAAGTTCATGCTGAGTATCACTGTTGCACCTACTTTCTGGGGTTTTGTCTGTATTTGATCAGTTTTTTCCCAGGTTTTGGCTACTGTGCAAGCCAAGGGCAGTATTAGCATCCACATTCTCATTTAGGAAATTTTCATCTTTGAGTTTTTTCACATACAACTTTTTCTTAATTGACTGTCAAATAAGGATGCTTGCAAGTTCACTATTGTTTCCTCTCTTTAGGTACTAGTCCAGCTAGCCTCTCAATGGAATGGATTACTAATACAAATACTGTTGATAAGAATTGTTTTTGTGTTTCTTTTTGCATAATACAAAATCTCCAAAGACTGAATTTACCTTTTTTTATTTTTCTGCTGTACAACTTTCCAGTCTAAGCTGATACGACTTGTGACCCAAAGGGACTCTTCAGTTCTTTATCTTTAATTCACTATTCTTTAAGATTGTAAGAGCAAATCAATTAAGTGTAATCAACTATGGCTAGCATCTTTATCCACAATCACACTCCAGTAGTTAAAACTCAGATACTAACTTCCCTTCTTACCAGTGACAGTTATGGAAGTTTCTCCTTCATCGCAAGACTGCCTGTCGCGAGCTGAAGGGACTGAACACTGATGTCATTTCTGGTTTAGCAAGCAACTATGAAATAAGCACAGCTTTTAATGAGTTGAGATTGTCATAATGCTCACCTGAGTCATTCCTGAGAAGACAAGGAGTCTTTCTTAAACTGAGATATTTGATTTCATGTGCAGACTCCATATGTTACTCCTAGAAAGTTCTCAAAACCCAGTCTCGGAACAAACGGTAAAAGCTGTGTTTTAAAGGCAGACTCTCCACCATAATTTATTTGTCTATACCATGATCTCTATGCAGACCCTACAAACCAGGAGATGTGCTAGTGGCAGCTGAATTATAATTCCAGATTGCTAGTCATATCTAGCCAAAATACTGTCTGTCTTATCTTTTTCACGGTGGTCTAATCTGATTGTTCTCTGCTTCTCTAAAATATTGCTTGTTGTCAACATCCAATGGGAAATTGCATTTTGTCCAGTTTCAGGTTGCGCTATATAGTTCAAGATTCTTCCTTTCTCTTAAAATTTTGCTTACATGACAGAATTAGCACATTTATGAATAGGAAATGTTGCTTGATTGTGTCAAGTTTACTGTTGCTGTTGTCCATTGCCTACTCTTTGGTAAAGATGTTTTGTTTATGTGTCTTCTAGGAGATTCATAGAGAACCTACACTTTTATCTGTAAAACAGGCAATAATAGAAGATGGAAATAGTTAGGCTAAAAGGACGACAATATTATCCTGGAAGGAGATACGAAGGTAGCAGTTGTTTCAGGTGTTGAATGGTACTTCTTCCTGCCCCTCATACTCACCTGAGGCATAGTCTTGGTTTATTTTAAGATTTATTTATTGATGACTTATTTATCAATGTATATTGACAAAATATCAATGTATACATTGTTGTTTAATGAATTTCTCTCACTGTTCAACTCAGTAAGGATTCTTACATTTCAAACCCACTCAGCCTGTCACCAAACAGGACATCCAAAACTTGTAGTGTCCCTTTGTGTTAAAAGTCTCCAATAATTGTCAAAAATTTATACTAGGTACAACATCCCTGTTTAATGATGGACAGATGAGACTGCTTTGAGTTTAACATCCAGGAAGTGTGTTCTGTGCAAATGCTTTCTCAATAAGGAGAAATTACCAGGTAGCTCAAGAAACGAGCATCACACTGACAGCACAGAGGGCTTTGCTAGGTTACACTGGCTATGGGCCATCTTCGTTAGTAGTTCCAGTGAGTTAAAAATTCTATTCACATCAAGACCTCCAGTACGTTCAAAATGATAACTTCATAAAATTGTGTATAATTATGAATTAAGCTCAATATAGTAAGCTATAGTACAGGTAAAATCACTCTCATGTTTAAATACTTACATGTTCAGGTTTTGTGTGTGTTGCATTGTTTTTGTGCCACCACAATGGTTAAAACTGATTTTTTTTTTTTTTTTAATTTATTTCTGCTGTGCTCAGATTATCACTGGCAAATATTTTAATGCAATAGTTGAAGCAAATGCTTACACTAA